CTAGATTGTGTATTTAAACATCACAGTTTTGTTTTCATTTCTTGCAAGAAGCATTTGACTGAGGTTAATGTTTTATATCAACAGAGTAAAAATAGCTAATTCTGGGCCCAAAGGTCATACACATCAACACAACTTGAGTTCTGAAGTGCTTTTAACCTTGATTTTTCCTTGTAAGCCAGGTCCTTTAAAATATACAACACATTTAAACCCAATCTCACAAACACAGAGAAAAATAAAAAAACAAAAAAAAACCAAAACCAAACAAAAACAAATAAAAACCAAAACAAAACATTTGTACTGTTTTTTGAAGACTATCACCATCTGACAATCTGAGGGATCCGACTGTATTGGAGACAGTACTTGCCAGGAAATGCATAAGAGAAATACATTTCACTTTACAGAAAGGACTACAAATCAGAAATAACAGCACACAGGAAGGAAATAAAAACAGAAATAGAAACAAAAAACAAAAACCCCACATCTTCCCCATCTGCTTCATTAGATTTTTGGCACCCCAGTTAAGTTCTGACAAGCTAGTATTCCAGGCACAGTAAAATATTGTTGCTCCACTAGGCTGGCTCCAATGTTTAGTCATAAGATCCATACAATAATAACAGAACAGTGGCCTATCTTGACCAACAGTACATTAGTTATTATCTGCAGCACAAACACCTACCACTTTATACTAACATTTTGGCAGTTAATCTAAACATAGCACTTAAAGCTACATCATAATTTTGAGATCTAACTGGGTCATTTTCCTTCCAGCTGGCACCAGTAAAAAGTATTTTATAACAAAAAAGTAAATGAAACTTTTATTTTTTATGAGGGTAGGGTTTTTTTGTTTTTTTTTTTATTTTTATTCTTTAATGGCAGGAGCACAAGTATAATTTTAAGCACACAAGACACATTTTTCAAGGCCTGTTAGCAGTGATGCTAGCTCAGTGAATTACAATAAGATTTATTGTGCAGTGGTGTATGTCTAATTTTCCGTCTACTGCTGGGAGCTTCAGTTGGCGGGAACTAACAGAGACACCCATTATGTACAGCCTGGTTTAAACTGTGGTTTTGGTGCAAACTCTCAGGGACAGGAACTTACTGCACATGCTGGCAAGTGGTCAGGGAGAAAAGTTATGAAAAGAAAAAAAGAAAAAAAATGAACTTTTTAAAAGACTTTTTAAATATTTGGTATCCCATACCTTCTCCAAAATTTTTGTGGCAAAGGGAGAGAGTGGAAAAGGGAAAAGTCACAACAGATTTTCTTGTGAAAATTGTGTCATCTTCAATGGATATAAAACAAGGCAGCTAGTGACTTATTAGAGCAAATTTCACTGCTGACAGGATTCAAAACGAACAGAAGCTCACTGGAACAGAATTCTCGGTACTTACTACTTTACTCCCCCCATCCTTTTTTCCTTTTTTTTTTTTCCTCTCCCCCTAAGTACTGGAAACACTTTTTAAACAACCATCTAGAAATTTCATTCCCTTCCCTTCCTCTACCTTATTCTGGTTTTCTCAAATGTTCCATGTACACTCCAAGCTAGCTGACTTAACATAGTCCATGCAAAGTGAAGGTGGAGAGTGGAAATAACAGAAGGAAGGTATGAGGAGCAAACAGACACAACAAGAAAAAACAAAGTCCTGGAGGGGTAAGAGAGAAGAGCAACTGTGGAACTCAGGGTTGCCAGCAAGTGATACATGCAGGTTAGTGGGGAGGCAGAGAGCACTTGATGTAATGAAAAGGTTAGAAAGAAAAGCTTTAAAATGGGAGTGGGAAAACCAGTATGAATAATGGGGGTGGGTGGGCAATAACAGAGTAAATAACTTAGAGCAGAGCTGGGGTCTGTCTCACTAAGCCACAAAGCACAACAACATTGTTTTAATACACTGAGCACCTTACCACAGAAAGGGGGCTGAAGACAAGCTCCATAATCACATCCCTGCTTCTTAGGGAGCAGCTTATCAGGGAGAGAGAAACTGTATAACACACCATGCTTCTTCTATACCAGAATAAAGAAGAAAAAAAAAAAAAATTGGTTTGCATAGTCTGCTCCACAACTGGCACTCAGAAAAGGCATTTTGCTTTAACAATGCAAATCAAACAAAATGTGAAAAATATACAACCGTCCATAAACCTAATGCTCTTCCTCACTGGTTTGCAAACATTCATATATCCAAACACAGTATTATGCTTCATGTTTACAGTACAGAGTGATGACCTAGAAATAATACTTTTTTCTGTCTTCTGGTTATATTAGGTGTTATTTACTATCCTCACAAAATCTGCTTCAACTATCCAATTTAATGCCATCTTTTCAATTTTCTCAAGGATGCTAGTTTACTATCTATAACAGTGTAGTTCCGTAGCCACACACGGGATGGCACTGTTAAAATAAATCCTCACACACCAAATCTCTCTTCCACTCTTGACTGTGGGCAGCAGATTTAAGGGACAAGTACGTTTTTATTCCCCATAATAGTATTTATCCACCACAAACTGACATCACGTATTTTTATGCCTGGGCACTCAGTTATATTTTTACTTTGTTTCAAGCATGGAAAGCCAGTACCCATAAAACTATTAATGCTATGTTACGATTTTTGGAAAAATTGGCAGAGAGAAGCAAGTGATTAGATGCAGTATTGCAATGGGCACTGTGGTATTTCATCCTCTCTAGAGACTGTAATTTTATGCATGTTTTAAAAAATGTTAAGGAAACAATGTACAGAACATAAGGAACCAATTTTCTTCCTTGAGAAAAACACCAAAACAACAACAACAAATCCACAACAACAAAATAACACCTTTGGGCTATAAGCATTAAAAACACCAGCAAAACAGAATGGGGAATACAGAGGGTAGGCAGTGGTAAGAAACAGCCATTATTTGTTGCTTGCCTCCTCTTTGCAGCCGTATCTCTCTTAACCATCACTCAATTCATTAGTGCTCTATAATAGTATGTCAATAAATTCTATAAATGGACAACAGGACATGAAGACTCCTTTATAACATATTGACTGGCTCCAAACACAGGATACCACAATAGGTGCTTTTTTTGTTGTTATAGAACTGCATAGAGAGAACAAGGTCCAAAAAGACAAAGTACAGCTAGAGCCCACCTAAAGCTAAGTGCCAAAAAGGCAAGCTTTCTTCAGATTTCTGCTATTACACCCTTGCCAAAAATCCCCTTCTGATCTCTAATCAAGCAGTCAGCTCAACATATGCAGGGTAGCAAAAGTGACCCTATACTGTCATCAAGCAAACAACATGGTATTGTACAGCACAGCACTGTTCTATGCCCCAACATAGAAGCATTGCTCCAAAAATAGCATACACCTCTAGGTGATATTTAAAAAGAAAACCCACACACATGCTTTCAAGGAACTTTAGTACAACATACACATTGTGTGGACTGTAGTCTGGAACAGCACATTATATAATACACTGCCAGACAGGCTTCTCAGCACTTCAATTCAAAAGCAAGTACTAGACATAGCACATCCTTGATGCCAGTGCCTTTTTTAGCCAGTAGAAAGGGGTACAGAACTTAGTGTTGTAGAAAATGGTTATTAACATCTGTTCATTGACAGCAGGGAGCTGGAATTGCATAGTCTTTAGGCATAATTTTTACCCAGTCTTGCATAAGAGCTAATGGTAACTGCAGCCCTCTTCTCTTACTTCTCAAGAAGCCTTCACATTATACTTGAGAAACAGACTAACTGCACACTGCTATACTTGCCACTAGCATAAAATAGCACCTCCACATCAATAATAAATCCTTCCAGACAACTGGGTAAGGTCTCTGCTGCCTTCCAGACAGGAAGAAGTTCCAAACCCAAAAAAATTCCCTTGAGATGTCGTCAGAGATCTTTGAGAGATACCGATTTGGTAGAAGACATAGTAAGGAGGGCATAATTATCTCAAGCATCCAATGGACTCTCAGCACACAAACCAAAATAGGCAAGCTCACATAACCTCAAAGGTTGCCGGCATTATTTTCTACAGACTATCACCCACATCCTTAAATATTTCTCTATCGTTTTTTTTTTGGATGGTTCAACACAAGGAGCCAGGAAAACTGCCCTCCCATGACACTGGCACAAGGAAATCCAGCTATGCTTATGGCTCTCTAGACTTTAAAGATCTTGCTCCACATATGTCTTGTCAACTCACCATGACCAAAAGAGACGGAAAAGAAATGGGTGGAGAATGGTGTGCACTAACAAACTAATTTCACAAAACATCCAGCTGGTTAGGGTCAGCATTTTAGGGCAACAGATCTCCTTGAGGAATTCTACTTGAAGTCTTACAGAGATTTTAGCATGCCTGGAATTAGTGACTTGGGCCTTAGTTTCTACTCACAAGAGATCCATCAATATCTGCTGGAAACCGGACAAAAACAAGAACACAAACCACAAACTTTCTTGAAAGTGTTCTTGCTCACATGAACAAAAGAAATTCTTCTTCCAACTAGTATTACATGCATAATTTTTAAGCTTATAAACCAGAAAAAGAAATTTTCAAAAGTCATTTACTCCATCAACCACTGGCCTTTGTGCTGGAAACTCTCCACGTAATGTCAAAGATAAATTTCCCCTGCATTTAATTATGAGTTGCGTTAAACTTCACTACCACAACATATACTGGTAGAAGTACTATTGCCATCATATATAAAGCCAGAGGAGCATGCATTTCTAATAAGAGTAATCAAAGGAACAGGTATCACTCTATTGTGAAAAATGCAAAATAAACCCACCTAATAAACCAGTTTACTGAGGAAAAAAACTCGCAATAACCCAAGGACAGAATATTAAAAGCACCAGCTTACACTACATAAACTGAACAAACACAGGACACAGAGTTCAGAAACAGCAGCGCAAGGTTTTAGCAGTGCTTGTAGTAAAGCCTTCTAGTTGCACGGATGTAAGCCCTCCTTCCACAAGGTCAAAAAGCAGAGTTCTACCTCTTTTATGGAAAACAGGTGCAATACCTTCTTAACATTCTTGCATGTTTGAGACCTTTATGTGGAACAATGGAGTCTTCCAATGAGGGGGATTCTTAGCTAAACAGAGGTTTGAGACACCTGTGGCAACATTTCAGGTCCCTAGGTGTATCTCCTTCCTCACTCACATCCACCTGGTCAGCACACAGATTGAGGGGGTTTTCTCCTTCCTGAAAAGCTGTCAATGTAGTAAGACAAGGACAAATTGGGCTCACTTGTACTTTAATATACTAGGTCTGTAGTGCCATCCCAACACCAAGAAGCAAACCCCACTAATGGCAAGTCAAGCACTGTGCTGCTTGCAATCCCTGCTGATGCAAGCCTTGCCATTCTTCACTGTTTGACAACTGTGCAGGTACCTGGGCCCTGCTTTACGCATGTCCAGCCTTGGATTTACTATGACAGCTGGCTTTGGTGAAGTCAAGATACGAAACATTCCCAAGCCACTGGTGGTGCAGTTAGCTTGTTCATTCATCATCCAGTCCTACATTTTCAATATAAAACAATCTGACTGGAAAGTTCTGGAGGACAGGCAAGAATAGTTGGAAACAAAAAAACAAAACCACAAGAATTCCCACCTTTGCTCTAATGTGAGAGTCCTGCTAAACCAATGTTTAGCAGGGTGGGAAGGTAGGAGAAGCAAAAGTTCTCATTCTAATACATCTCTAGCAGTCATATTATTCACTGATTAGCTGGCATGTTTATCCTTAAAAAGAAACTATAAAAGGAATCACAGACAAAAATGACATTTTATGAAAAAGAAGAAAGTGAGAATGAGTTCCCATTTCTGATACTCTGACACATTTCACTGTACTGAGCAACATCAGCTCATTATTGATAGACCACTAATTTACCAGGGTTTTTTTTTTTTTGCTTTTGCAGTGTAGCAAGGCAGGCTTAAAGTGACTCTCTGAAATCATCAAGCAGCCCTAGACCTCAGTATGCAGTGGAATTTTGTGCTCTGTGGAAGGAAGTAGAAACATTGCAAGTTAAGAAAAGCCACTTCCAAAAGTTAAGAACTCAAAGAGTTTACTGTTCTTTTTCTAAAAAACATCAAGCATCTAAAGGCTGGGATCTCAAAGAGGCCTAAGAGAATTAAGTACTTCTAAACCTACTGCACTTCAGTAGTATTTAAATACCTCTATTTTCGAGGCTGCCCAGAAAAATTTAAGATGGGGCTTTTCCTTTTGATTTACCATTCTCAAACTTGCTGCCTTATTTTCAGTGGGCACTGTGAGACATAATATAGGTTCCTCAGTCAAAGCCTTACAGGGCATCAGGAATTTACTACTGTTGTGGCTGTTGGAGGACTAGAATGTCTCTTAGAAATTTTTCAGGGTTTTTTTTCAGTCATTTGTACTGTAAATTACTGACTCTCTTGTACTGGAAGGAAAAAAAAGCAAGCACAAGAAGAATACACCATTCAGAAATACAAGCAGATGAAATTCCTGATTAACATGAGGTAAAATCCCAACATCCATTACCCTAACCACAACCCCGTTTGCACTTTAAAAAAAAAAAACAAACAAACAAAAGTGAGAAATTACACATCTGTTCCCACCAACAGCAGTAAAAGCTAGGAACAGGCTTGCACCCAGATAGGTACATTTTGGGTGCCAGTATTATATTAATTACATTAAAAATGGAAAAGCAGAAACCCTTCTGCCTTCTTCATTTAGCTCATAACCACTTTTTTCCTTTTTTTTCTAGAAAATGAGTGTTTTTCCATTTAAAAGGTGAGAGCCACTCTGTAGTTACAAGTGGTACTTTTTGACTTTCTTAATACAACCCTGTGGCTACAATTAACACAACGGATAAATAGCAGATCAAATTAAGGTCTGATCCTGTTCTAGAATAGGTGCAATCCTTGCAATAAATTGCAGGTTAAGCTGTTGGAGGTAAATGAGGAGAGATGGAAAGAGTGATCTATGATGCCTGAATTTTAAGTGTTCAGACATTTAAAGCAAGCGTGTGACAGACTATATGCAAATATCCAGACAGAAAATTTCGAAATTTTATTTCTCTATATGAGCTATTAAATGCTGACTTTAATCCTTCACATGGGAATATTATTTTCAAAAGAGGAAAAAGAACATAATTTTTGTTCACATTATTTCAGAATGCTTTATGTTCATTTCACAACTTCATTGTCTTTGCAGTTTGAGGAATAAGGGAATGCAGACTGTTGCCATGTATGGCCTTATTGTTGTGGAAATCCACTATTTCATCCACATAATAATGAATAAATAACTGAACCAATCTAAAGTCCTTCACAACCTGCGACTCTTACAGGCATCTTAAAACTGCATACTGCCTGATCTATTTTGTTTGCAATTCAATCACAAATTCCTTGCAGTATAAAAATCAAAACATTGTAAAAAAAGTGTATACTGTCTTTAAGGGTGATTAGTCTAAGGATTTTTGCAAAGGGATCAAATCAAGAAAGGTAGCTTCATGAATCATTATCTGAGGCATATAGTGTCTAATATGAATCCTTAGATTGTATCTGGAAAAATAGTGTGCACATACTGCCAAGTGCCAAACCAACTACCCACTTCCTGTGACATGTGTGGGAACAGGACATACTCAGAACTTCAAAGTAGCAACCTGCTATCTGGAGAAAAAAAAAAAAAAAAAGAATAACCAGATAATCATTCACTGTCCTTTATATCATAAGGGATGACCAAACAATATATTTTTGTAATTCCACTCTTCCTACTCATCAGAGAAATTATCAAAAGAGACACTGAGATCTTCTACATTCTCCATCACAGCCTTTTCCAATCCCCCTGTTTTGTAGGGTGTCTACCAAGGTTGCCTGTTACGCTACAGCACTTATTTCCTTCTGGTTTCGGTTTTTAGTTTCTTGTTCTTTTCCCATTAAACTTTAGAGAATGCAGTTAAGAAAACATAGAAATATACTCTAACCTCCACAATTTCCTTCTACTATGAGACAGAAAGAACAGTACAAATTATTAGCCCTCAATATCCCAGATAATCTTCAATCAATGTGTGAAGATTGCTTCAATGAGCAGTCTTCGCACAGGCCAGGTCTGTCCCATGAGACCAGAAGTTCACCAGCTGGGGGCAGTTTGTCCATTTGGCCCCTTGCATCAGCTCACAGCCCAAGAATCACTTGTGTGGCAGAGCCATATGGACAGGATCCATACCCGTTCTGCTCAGACTGCATCACCAACAGCCTAAGGGTCCTGTTGAAAGGGGGTAACTACATTTAAGGCAGATTTGTTAGTGGCAAAGGCTATAATAGGAAAAAAAATGTAGACTGGGTCAAAATGTAAAGTTGTGAGGTTGGGTGTTAAATTTTCTCCAACTGTTTGTACCTTATGATTACTGAATTACACAAAGAAGAAAAACTAAGCTTTCAAACTCCCATTCTGAGGTCTTTCTGAAAGCACTTCTGCTTCCAAGCAGCACCATGAGAGTCACAACACTCGGTTTGTACTCCACGCACCCCTTCCGGTGACACAAACGCTCCCAAAAGCCTCTCCCAGGAGGCTGCCCACAGCTCCAGCCACCCAGCGCCAGCACCCACGGCTGATGCGATGGAGTAAATGCTTTAACCACCACCTGCTTCCCTTCAGATCAAACCAAGCCCGGAGCTCCACTTGGTCGAGGAGACCTGAAGAGTCCGGGAGGGTGTCAGGGCCGGGTGGGTACCTGAGGGGTGTGCTGCGCCGCGCCGTCTTCCCCCGCAGTCACTCCCCTGCAGGAGGCTGGGGAGCGGCCGAGGAGCGGGATCGCAGCGGCAGCAGACGCGGGCGGCAGCCCTCCCGCCGGACAGGCGCGGAGGCGGGGGACGCCGTTACTAACGGTTCGCCGCCCAGGGCTCGCGCGGGGCTGCCGGGCGGCCGCCGCTGAGGGACAGCGCGGGGGCAGGAGGCGCGTGGCGCCTGCACGCCGTGCTGGTCCCGCACACACGGCCGCGGTTAGAGGTCGCGCGGAGGGACACCGGCAGGGACCCCTCTCGCGGAGCCTCGATGGGCGCCTGTAAGCTGCCGAGCGGCGGTGGCGCGGGCTCAGCTGCGGCAGCACAAGTACCGTGGTTACGAGTCTGTGAGGGTGCCAGAGAGAAACGTTCCAACCGCGTGTTGGGCCACGGACTGCCGTAGCAAAGACCTGTGGGTGTTACAGCTGGTTGAACTTTGCAGTCTTGCTGCCCACTGCAACAGTCTTCCTCACAGGCCGTGGGAGTAGTTGGTGAACTTAATAATTATATTTAATCACAGAATGGTTTGGGTTGGAAAGAACCTTAAGATCACAGAATCACAGAATCCTAAGGGTTGGAAGGGACCCCAAAAGATCATCTAGTCCAACCCTCCTGCAAGAGTAGGGTAACCTAGAGTACATCACACAGGAACTTGTCCAGGCGGGCCTTGAATATCTCCAATGTAGGAGACTCCGCAACCCCCCTGGGCAACCTGTTCCAGTGATCTGTCACTCTCACAGTAAAGAAATTTTTCCTGATGTTCACATGGAACCTCCTATGCTCCAGTTTACACCCACTGCCCCTTGTCCTATCACTGGACATCACTGAAAAAAACCTAGCTCCATCATCCTGACACTCACCCTTTACATATTTGTAAACATTGATGAGGTCACCCCTCAGTCTCCTCCGAGCTAAAGAGACCCAGCTCCCTCAGCCTCTCCTCATAAGGGAGATGTTCCACTCCCTTAATCATCTTTGTGGCTCTGCGCTGGACTCTTTCAAGCAATTCCCTGTCCTTCTTGAACTGAGGGGCCCAGAACTGGACACAATATTCCAGATGCGGCCTCACCAAGGCGGAGTAGAGGGGGAGGAGAACCTCTTTTGACCTACTAACTACACCCTTTCTAATGCACCCTAGGATGTCATTGGCCTTCTTGGCCACAAGGGCACATTGCTGGCTCATGGTCATCCTCCTATCCACCAGGACCCCCAGGTCCCTTTCCCCTTCGCTACTGTCCAGCAGGTCAACCCCCAACCTGTACTGGTACATGGGGTTGTTCTTCCTCAGATGCAAGACTCTACACTTGCCCTTGT